TCTTGTAAATGCAGAATTGAACGCTTCTGCACTGCATTACTATACTTAGCCTTTGTTGTGTACCTGATGATATTCGCCCACATATTAACGAGGCACGGAAACACACAAACCTTTATACAAACTGTAGGAGTAACGCATGACAACTGAATTACCTGATGTACTGGTAATCGCTCATTATGAATGAAATTACATGCAGTAGAATGTAGAAAGGAAAATTTTGAAATAACTCTGATTCACTTTTAGCCATGTTGCTCTTAAGAGGAAACGATTTACCCCGAATTGTGGCCTAAAAATTGGGTAAAATGTATGGGAAGTCGAAGAGATGCTCAGCCAGGAGAACGTGCTCTTTAAATAGAGCAACCAATTCAATACTGTGGTAGGAGTTGAATAAAGCAATGCACCGTTGAAAATGATTATTTTGTCTTTCCACAGTCCATGTCGGTATCTTTTCGAACCAAACGATGCCTCGAAGGAAAATGTGTGGATTTTTTTATTTATGTTTCGAGTGAAAGATTTATTTTGCCTCTGGAAAATGTAAGCAAAAATAGAAATACCAGTAACATTAAATCGCCTTTTTTCCTCTTGATAGAAATTCTACGACCAAATCTTTGAGTCGTTCAATTGAAAATATTAGATAGTTTTAGATTTACAACCGCATCATGGACTTCAAATATTACCAAAGGTCTTGTAACAAGTGCCTTCACAACAGTCGAAAAAATATATCGATACAATATCAGTCTTATGCCTGAAGCGTGACGTCGTGGACTCGGCTGATCAATCACCTGCTTTGTCTCGCCAATAAAAGAATGTTTTTGACGTCAGCAAATGACGTTTGCCTTTTTCTTGCCAAAATTAAATCTATCAAGTATGTGCCCCTATTATTTGTTTTAACTTGGTTAGGGTGGCTTAATAAAAACACCTAAAGCTTGACTCTGATCATTTCTTTATAAACCGATCGACCAGTGCCCCACTTTTTGTATCACCCCAAGTAAGATGAAGTGAAGGGATCGATTGGATCGCCCCCCCCCC